CACCAAAATCACAAGACATAATTGTTTTTTCTTTAAAATTATCCAGCATTTAGTTTCATAGTACCAGAAAGAATTGTAAGCTGTTGGGGAAGAAAAGTCACCAGCAGTCCTACCTAGCTGTGAATGTTGTCAGCTACAACAATGCTGTGTGTCAAGACTTTCCCATGAGTGAAATAGTGGCATGAGTATTATGGGGGTGACCAAACTGTGATGGTTAGCTTCTGTCAGCTTGACACAATCTAGAGTCACCCTGGAAGAGAGAAACTCAATGGAGACATGGTCTCCATCAGTTGGTATGTGGGCATGTCTGTGGGAATATTTTCTAGATTAATGATTGATGTGGGAGGGCCCAGTCTACTGTGGGTATTGCTACCCTTTGGCAGGTAGTCCCGGTTTGTACAGGAAAGCAAGCTGAGTGAGCCATGGAGAATGACTCAGTTAGCAGTACTCCTCCATTGCCACTGCTTCAGCTCCTGCCTCCAGATTCCCGCCTTCTTTTCCTTCAGTGATAGACTGTGATCCAGAAGTGTAATGGTAAATAAACTCGTTCCTCCCCAACTTGCTTTTGGCCATGGTGTTTATCACAGCAACAAAATTAAACTTGAACACAACTGCTTTCTGATTGGATTTAAGACCTACTCCATGGGAAGAAACACATGCCTGGACCTGTGAATTTGGCAAAGACCTAGGAGCTCCCTGCTTGAAAATGATACTATTCGTTTGATAAATGGGCATAGTATCAAACTGCCCTCCGAATTCATATCTCTCTGCCCACAGATTAGTGCAGTTCTTGGCTATCTCAAAGAACTTCCTCTGTGCAGTGGATAATGATTAACACAGGAACTCACATTGGTCAAAGTACAGAGAATAAGTATCAGTGGAGTCATCAGCCGCACATGGGACATCTATAACACACAGTCTCTCCTTCCAAGGCTTAAGGATCATATCAGAAGAGGAGGAGAAAAGATGGTCAGATGTCAGGGAGGGCCAAAACAAAACAGTATCTTCACGACACAGCAGGACCACTACTGCACTCATGACATTGCAGTATGCCGCAGTTGATTGCGCAATACCTGTACAAGATCAAGCCAGTCAACATTCCAGCACAGAGGAGGGAGGAACTTATCAGTCCCTATACCTGAGGAGCTATGAACCGTTTGCATTGATGGCTTCTGAGGAAGGAAGAGCTAGTTTTCTTTAAGTGTGTGGCCCCTGGTAGGCCAAGCATGTTCCAAAGGTTGGCTGTATACCTATGAGTATATGGAAAGCACACTTGGACTCAGTAGGTTATAAAAAACAGAACGTAAAGTTGGGAAGGAGTTAGGGGTGTATCTGGGAGGAGTGGAAGCATGAATAGGATCAAAATACATTGTTTCAAGGTATATATATGTCAGGGTTCTCTGGAGTCACAAAATGTATTGATTGAATCTCTCTCTCTCTCTCTCTCTCTCTCTCTCTGTGTGTGTGTGTGTGTGTGTGTGTGTGTGTGTGTGTGTGTAGGAATTTACTGTAATGACTTACAGGCTGCAGTATACCTAATCCAACAACGGCTAATTGTGAATGAAAAGTCCAAGAACCTAGTAGCTCTGCCCGGTCCCACATGGCTGGGTGTCCCAGCTGGTCTTCTGGATGTGCTGACAAGGTGAGGGCAAGCAGGCAAAGAACAAACCCTCCTTCCATTGTCCTCATATAGGCTTCCAGCAGAAGGTGTGGCCCAGATTAAAAGTGTGCCTTCCAGACTCAATGTCTGGATTAAAGGCATGCTGTCTTCTTGCCTCAAGATCTAGATCACAAGTGTGCCCTCCATTTCTGGATTATCGTTCATTCTGGATATAGTCAAATTGACAACCAAGACTAGCTCTCACAGTATGAAATTCTCCAAGAGTTAGTAAAATATTATACTAAAAAAATTATCCAGACTCAGATGTTTTGTTATATCAACACTGATTATCCATGATCCCAGAGGGACACATCAATGACACCAGCATAGATCGAAAAGTAAATGTTTGATGAGGTGGTGTGTCAGCCTCTACTTCTATCCACGTCCTGTTATGGAATCCTGGTTCATCTGGAGCTTGCTATACTGTAGCCTCAAACTCATAGTGGTCTCCTTGCTTCTGCCTCCCAAGTACTGAGATTAAAGATGTGCCACCTCTTTTGCGTTCTAGCCATCTTTGAATACTAAATACGTGTCCTTTCCTAGCTTGGATGTACCACACACCACCCACTTTGATCTAAACAACTTTTGGGTTTCTGACACTTGCAACCAAGTATTCACTACAAGAAGCCCCTAAATAATCAGAAGCTAGCTTATTACTCAAGGATAGGCTGCTTATTCTGCTATTGGACATAAACAGATACACTAATTTCAGGCAAACTCACTCTATTTTGTAAAACCAAATACAGCCTGATCACCTCATAGATTCTTAGTCCAGACAAAAAGGTCACTGTACCACTCTCAAAATCCAGAAGGCTTCTTCTCTTGGTTATCTGACTGCAATTTCTTAAGCAATTACTTTACCCTTGTTCCACCTTCCTCTTCTTGAAGCTATTCATACCAAGCCCTACTCCAACACTAGATTCTTTCCAGCACCTTCTTACTGAGTATGACCATTAATCTGCATCACCAGTTTGACTAGACTTACCACCACTTACAAGACACACTTCTGAACATGTCTGTTTGTGTTATTTCCAGAGAGATGTAACTCAATAAGGAAGCCCCACCCTTATGTGTGGCTCACACTAGCCCATGACCTGCAGTTCTCACTAAATAAGATGGTACAGAAGAAAAAGTGAAATCAGCACTAGTATTGTTTCTCTCTGCTTCCTGACTGGATACAATGAAACTCGCTGCCTCATACCCCTGCCTCTGTGCCTTCTCTATTATGACAGACTATATCCCCACCTCCAGCCATAACAAGCCCTATCATCCTTGAGTCGATGTTGTCAGGTATTTTGTTACAGCAATGAGAACAGTAAATAATGTAGGAAGGTTCCCACAATGTGCTTTCTTTCTTACTGCAATGACTAGATCATAATTTATTAATTTATTCACCTATATGGATGATCCTCATTATCTTTGACCAGAGCTACTTAACACTGCTAAAATATTCTTGCTCTAAAAACTTAATTGGACATGAAGTCATTTGTTTCCCAGAATTTCTGGAGAAGACAATTGAAGAGTTAGTGAGTGAGTGAGTGAGTGAGTGAGAGAGAGAGAGAGAGAGAGAGAGAGAGAGAGAGAGAGAGAGAGATTGGTTGAAAGTCTATTTCTAGTTCTAGGCCCCAGGACCAGACAACTACTCACCTACTTCCCATTTCTAGAGATTGTAGGACACTTTTATTTATATTTTCTAATGGTCAGCATCATTTACTATATCTCTTTTGTAAGCAACCTGAGGTACTTGCTTAAATGATGATGAGACATTCTTAAATAAAAGGCATTGAAGTGGTCTCATCTTCATTCACAAATTTACTCAATTTTTTTTTTAGCCCAGTTGAAAAGGGTATCATTTTTCTGCAAAATTTAAATACTGGGATTTATTTTAAACTGCACATAGATCCAAGTGAGTTTTGTTTTGCAAAGTGCAGAACAAGAAGCTGCAGCGAGCAGACTGCATGGTGGAAACCTGGGAGTATTAAACAAGGAAGGTCCTCTATGGAAACTGAGCAGGAAGTCAGACAAACATCCTTTTCCTTCAATCCCTTTGTCTTAAACCCAAGGGATAAAGACTCCTCCTGAGAACAATTATAAGGGCAGTTTACAGATGTTTAGGATGTTGCTTCCTGTGTAGGTCAAATACAAGTCAGAGTGTCCACATTTTATTAGCTTTATTTGTATAAACAAGTATATACTTTGTTTAAACAAATCACTCTCTGTGTCTTTATTAAATATTAAGCAACAGTAAAAAATATATTTGAATTCAGTTTAAATTTGGCCATTTGATCAGCCATCTTAAAGCAGACAAGAAAATAAGAGAAAAAAATGTTTCTTGTCTCCTATAAATCAATGATTAATTTATAAAAATAATTTGAAAATATGTAAGTGAAGAGTAAAGCTTACTGATAGACAGCACACACAATATTACCAAGAAGAGAAGAAGCAGTTACATCTATTATGTTTAAGTAGTATTATGTTTGTTTTATGATGCCCAAATAGAGGAGGGTATTGCAGTTCAAAACAAATCTTACCTAAAATGCTGAAGAAATAAGTATTAACAAGTAATGGTGGTGGACATTGTGAAAATTAAAGTCTTTCTCTGTAGAGTCACACTATGGATGACTGTAGGCTCAGACTGTGTAGACTCCTTCGGAACTGTGAATTGATAAGTGGTAAGGGATGAGGTTTCCTCAGAGAGAGAGAGAGAGAGAGAGGGAGATGGATGAGAGGGAGACCCCTATTCAGTGTTCCCTGGCTCTCAAAACAGTCTGGGAAAGACCCCAGAGACAGACAAAAGAAGAGGGTTGGAAGTTTCATCATAGAACAAAAGTGCATGCTTAAGATAAAGTGCATTCTCGGAGTGAGCCACGCATCTATCAAGTTTAATAAGGAGGGGATTATTCGTGAGCTGAAGTGGAGAGAAGACAGGAATTCCCAGGACAGGATTTATACCTCTTTTTTATCTTCATGTGGGATTTTCAGCTATGTAGTGGCTCTCAATGAGCAATCAGAACAGCTAATTCTGCAGGAGTGTCTAACTATTGGAGACCAGATTATAAAGAAGCAAAGGATGGTTAGCACTCATCTCCATTGGCGTGTTAGTTTCCGTGGTTTCCAGTGGTCATGTGACCTTCTGCTGTGACACAGCTCTGCAGCACTATTCTTTGATTGCTATTCAGTTTGCTGTCTACTGTGTAGTCTGCCTTGATTCTGTTCAAACTGCTTATTGCCAGCATGGAAACTCAGCCCTGAGAGTGCTGATGTGTTTACATCCAAGCACCTGAATGTGTCAGCAAGAGGCTCCTTAAATTCAGCAAATGACAATGTTCCAAATAAGTCAATGAACTCAGCAGTTTTTAGCGACACACTAAGACTTTATTCATATGCCAATATGCCATTATGTAAAACGTAAACCTACAAAGTTAGTAAATAGGCCATAGTTGATATGGGTTCCAAGAGAAGCCAAATTTGAATAAATAATTTTAGAAATTTTATCTTATTTTTATTTCTGTTTCTGTATGTGTCTATGTGTGAGTATGCACATTTTCATGTAGATGTCCTCCTAGACCAGAAGACGGCATTAGATCTCTTGCAGATAAAGTTATAGGTGGTTGAAAGCCACCTGACCGATGTGCTGGGAACCAAATTCAAGTCTTCTGCAAGAGGAGCAAGCACCCTTAACCACTAAGTTACTGCCTCAGCCCCTTTTAATGATAATTCATAGGGCATGTTTTAGGGTGAGAAAACTATCCGATAAGATTGCAAAGTGATAAAGTTTAATATGTTATGCATTTGTCAAAACCCATAAAACTTTACCACACAAAGCATAAGCCTTTGTGTATGCAAACAAAACCCAAACAATTCCAGAAATCCAGAAATCACAGGGTAGAGTACAGACTGACAACAGAATCTAGCTATATTACAAAAGGACATATTAACCTTATTGAAGGGAGCGAGGGGCAAATGCTAGCTGAAGCAACTTTAGAAAACAGAATGTAAAACTAACGCAAAAGGCATTGCATATAAGCATTTTAGTGTAGCTACGAAAGTTGCTTTCCCCAGCATGGGGGTTAGCAATTCTGATACTGGTAAATATAGAATTGCATGATTAAGTACAGAGACAGTGATCTACGATAGCATGGATGGCCACAGAAAAGCAAGGCAAAGATTAAGGTGATCAATGTGATAATGAATTAGAGTTGGAGATGCCAAAATGCACTATTGTTCATTTTAACATCCAGACTAGTTAATTTAATATACATATTAGATGTGTACAGATAAGGCAATATTTATAGATACATATGTATGAGTCGATTTTCACTCACATTGCTTGCTTTGGAAGCACGGAAGGCAGTCACTTACTAACAAGCACATCAAGGTGTAATAATGCTGTTCTAGATTGAAAGGATCCAAGACTCCTTGTAGATTGCTTAAACAGGGAGCAAGGGAATATCCAGGATTACTTTGAAGCACAATGCAATTCCAAAAAGTAAATTTTCTCACACACACACACACACACACACACACACACACACACACACACACACGAGAGAGAGAGAGAGAGAGAGAGAGAGAGAGAGAGAGAGAGAGAGAGAGAGAGAGAGAGAGAGAGAGAGATGATGATACAGTATGTCGAAGGGAAAAAGAGACACAAGTGATTGCTAGAAGGGCTCCCTAAATCCAATACTAAAACAATTTGAACAAAACCATCAAATAGTATGATTCTTTAACACAAAATACAAGTTTACATTAAGTCCATACTAATTTTAAAAAGTGAACAGATAAGACAAATGGAAGAGAATAAGTAAAGTTGCCATGCGGTACAATCACAAGCGACTTTTGTAGGCATTCAGCACTGAGTGAGGAGCATATTTTCCAATTCTTGGTCTTCTCTGCTGCTGGAAGGCTCCCTGCTACTTGCAGGACAGAGCAAACACCACTTCTTTATAGCCTTCTACACCTATTCACCCCTCTCCTGATCACCATTGATTGTTCTTTCTTCCAAACACTGCATGTGGGATTTCCAAAGTCAGTTCATTCTCAAGGGTACTGTGAGAAGAGAGGAGCCTAACGGTGGAGAGAGAGATGGCCGACACTGTCAGCAGAGTGGTTGTTAACTCAACATTTTCATTTATACTCTAATGTCTCAGTACCAGAGCATTATGTGGAAAATCATTTTATGTGGATTTCCAAGATGTTTATTCTTTTTATCACAAAATGAAACTAAAGGCTTTGTTTTATTAAAGATAAAACCTAATCTAATGGTCTTTACCTAGGAGCTAACTTACCCGTTGTGTATCATCTCATGGTATAATATATTCATATGGAATATTCCATATATAAAAATATATTATACCCAAATCATCATCTCTAGTTATTTGAGGTTTTATATCTCATTATAATTTCATAGGTTAAGAGCCCAAGAATTCCACAGAAACCAACTGACTAGACCAAAGCCACTTCCTGAGTCTGTGACCCAAGGAGGGAAATGCTGTTTACACAAAGACAATCTATCAACCAATATTCCAGAAGCAAGCCTTTCTATAATATAGTTAGGAAAATTATTTAAATTCTCTTGCAAAAGAAACACAAATCTTAGGAAAATACAAGTATTTATTCTAATATCTATTTTATCAAGTAATAAAAGTCATCTATTGTTGTGGGGTATCCAGCAGAGGAGACTGTGTGGACATGGGTTTAAGTTAATAGGAAGTCTTTATTATCAGTCAGTGACCACACTGGGTGTTTGGGATCCCAGTGTAGGTAGCCCTGAAGCTTTCTCAGGGTGAGCTTTTAAGCACAAAGAACATATTCTGGGTTGACATACTTCAGTTAAGAAGAACAGTTAGCCAGAAGCAGAACTACAGAAGCCAAAAAGCAAGGTTAGTACATTTAGAGACTTTCCCAGAACTACAGACTGATGAATCCATCAGGCCTTTCTTTTCATCTTGGCTGATCTTCATGCTGAGTTTTATGGCCTAAATGGTACTTCCTTCATGGAGTCAGTTGTGTTAAGGTCTGGGGGTCTGTTACACTATGAAGATTATAAAAATATTCTGTTCTTGGGTATGCAGATTGCAAGACTACCTAACATCTATCAAAACCAACATCAAAATAAAATACAAAGCTTTTCAACTAAAAAAAAAAAAGAAAGAAAAAAAAACTCTTTCTAAATATTTTACTCTTGTTCCCATTGAAGTAGGCTTATACCATAAAAGCAGTTATCTTTCATTCTATAAGTGTCTCAAAATCTGAGTGTTATAAAATCTCATGTAGCTGAGTGTAGTGCTGCATGCCTTTAAAGGCATCACTCCAGAGACAGAGGCAGGCAGATCTCTGTAATTTCATAAGTTCAAGGCCAAACTCCAGCATAGTAATTTCCAGATCAACCTGAGTTACATAGTAAAACTCCATCTTAAAGTAAATTATACCTATAAAACTCTCAGTTTTACTTATAAAAAGACTACCTTAAAACCCCTTTGAAGCTGTGATACACCTCAGAGATCAACTGTGAAGTCATTAACAGAGGATGCTCTTAACTGCCCAGGTATTTGTTTGGAGTAGGTAAATAAAACAATTGTTGATAAGAGGCCTGAAATAAGAAATATTTCAAAAAATGAGATTCAATTATGATACAACATCATCATCTATACATATAAACATAAGAAGCTTTCAAGTAAAACTCAGATTTTTTTTTTTTTTGGTTTTTTGAGACAGGGTTTCTCTGTGTAGCTTTTCGCCTTTCCTGGAACTCACTTGGTAGCCCAGGCTGGCCTCGAACTCACAGAGATCCTCCTGGCTCTGCCTCCCAAGTGCTGGGATTAAAGGCGTGCGCCACCACCGCCCGGCTAAAACTCAGATTTATGACGGACCTTTATAAATTGGATGTATCCCTTTGTCAACTTAATCTCCAAATAAATTTAATGTGCTGAATTTCGTGACCCAAGTACTACTTGCAATTTATGATGAAAGGCATTTATCCGTTCTTTCTGAACTGGCCAGGTCAAGATGCAACGGGATTTAAACATTCCTCTTCGCAAACAGAGTGCGTGGTTTAGTTTATAATCTGGAATATCTTGAAGAAAAATCAATATAATTGAATCCAGATTTTGCTCAATAGCTTGCTGAACCGCATGGTGTACCTTGAATCTAAATAGAACATTAAAATGGATAATTAGATAGCTAACATATAGATGCGAAAAGTTAAAAGCTTAGCAATCTAAAATTATTTGTGGAATTTATTTGTACTTTCACTAAAAGTTAGAATTTCCCCCTTAATTTTGTTGCTAAAAATTTTATGAATTTTCAATGTAGTAATTTTGCAAGTTCAGTTGAAAAATGAGTGCAGACATAAACATTCAAAAAATCCACCTACCTTTTGCACAGAGGGTCTTTTAATAGATGGTATGTTATAACAAAAATGATTTTTCTGCTTCTTTTGATGCTGTTGACAATTGCTTCAAGTCCAAGGACACCTGCTTCAAAGTCCCTTTCTTCTAGGCAGAATTTGAGAGATTGGTCTTGTTCCTCCATTGGGGAGAAGTGTTTCCAAACCCAGTCTCTGTCTTGATGGGCATGAATTATGTATGCTGTATATTCAAACTGTTCAGGCTGTGCTTCAATTTCCTTGAAACCAAGAACCCGATGAACCGAAACATTCCAGTAAAAAGATATCCTCCAGCCCTCAAAGTGAATGAGCAACGCCATAAGTATAAAAGTCATGAGCACACTGGTATTAATCATGAAGAAAAGTTCAAAGGGGGCACTGTCTTTACAGGATGATGTATCAAAGTGCATCACTGGGAAGCCATGATACTGAGGCGGGGTGTTGCAGAGGTAATGAGTCGGTAGCTCAGAGATGTTAGCGTGGGTCTGGTTGATCCAGTTAACAAACCAGGCAATACTTTCACATGTACAATCAAATGGGTTAAAGCGCATATCTAAACTACTCAGGTTCTGAAAAGCTGGCCCAAAAACATTCTTCTCCACCGACGTGATGAGGTTCTTCTGAAGGTTCAATGACCTTAGAGACATCTGGTCATCAAAAATAGATGGTAGAAGTATGTTTAAATTATTCAGTCCTAGATTGATGCTCTTTAGTTCAAATAAGTTCTTGAACACCCCGACTGGGATTTCGTCAAAGCCGTTAGACTCCAAATTCAGGATGTGGAGGTGAGACAGGCCCTTCAGGAAATTAACAGGACCGCCAGGGTTTGCGTGTTTCCAGAGCCTTGCTAAGTTGTTGTGCTGAAAATCCAGGATTTCTAGATTCTCCAGACCCTCCAAAAAGTCCTCATTTATGTTGGCGATGTTGTTGTTGCTTAAGTCCAGAATAGTCAAGTTACGGAGAGGGCGGAAAGGGGAGGGGGAGATTTCCGCATTTTTTAGTGCCACCCTCCTGAGCATCAGTCTCTGAAGACCGGGAACCAGAGCAAAGGAATTGCTAGTCAGTTGGAGATATTTGTTATAGGACAGGTAGATCTCAAATATATTTCTCAGACCTCTCCACTCCTGGCCTGTGAGTTCTTGATCAATGTCATTAAGGCCAAGGTCAAGTACCCTGAGTTGGCCCAACCACAAGAAAGCACCACCTGCTATTTTTGAGATGTGATTTTTCGTTAAATTGAGTGTGAGCAAAGGAGAATGAGCAAGTGACAAAAACGTTTCATTTGTTAAAGTTTGCAAACTTGTGAAAGTTTTGGAAAGACTTAGATACTTCAGACTCGTCAAGCCCGTGAACATATTGCTTTTTGTGCCCGGAATATTATTATCATCCATGTTGAGATATTCCAAATATTTTAGCCACTGAAAAGAAAAATCATCGATCTTGGGGTGAGAAGCAAGGGAAATACTTTGTCTAGTAAATGCTCGCTTCAAATTCAGGTACCTCAGATTGGAAAGTCCATAGAAAGAGCGAGGAGACAAACACTGTATGTTATTGTACTGCAGAGACAGGTACCTGAGGTGTGGGAGCCAAGAGAAGGTATCGTTACCCACATCGCGTAGGCTGTTGTAGGAGAGATCCAGCGACGTGAGATGGGTCTGCTTCAGCCCGGAGAAAGTCGCGAGGCTGGTTGCCAGAAGCTGGTTGTTAGCCAGAGAGAGATTCTGGATGCTTGTATTTGAAAGTTCCGAACAGAGCTTCTCCGTGAGGTGGAGGTCTAGTTGGGCGTTGTTCAAAAGGAGAGCGGATAAATTGCCGATTGCATGAAAACACCCTGGAGAAAACTGAAGGTTCAAAACAAACAAACAAACAAACCGTGATGTAACGTGCTCTGAAGGGCATACTATAATGCATCTTTGCTCAGTTCATCACATGACTTGGGCAGGGCAGTCCACTCTATCCCTCCAGCGAATGGTTCCTTCTTCACTCCATGCCTATAACCACTTCCACACCCCCACCCCACCTACACCCACAACCCAGGGTCCTTCCCTGGCTTCCCAGGTAAGGTTGCATCTCCCAGCATTTTGCCTAAACCACACCGAACCCAGTTGCATTTAATAAACTGTGTGTGAAAACTGTAAAGGGGCAAACCCTGAGTCTGTCTTGGTGACCACCTTCTGGGGCCACGTGTAATGAAACAGTGTCACGTACTTTCTCTTCTGGAACTCTAAAGTGAGCTATTGGTTTTGTCTTTCCAGGTTTTCTTCTTACTTTATTTCATGATAGTGTTGATGATAGTGTTTTCAGCGGTCTTCCACTGACTTGTAGTCAGTTTTCAGAAGCCTCTGCTGTCCTGGGACTTGAAGAGGGACTCTAGAGAGGGTGGTAGCCAGAGCTTGCACTTACTGTGAGAACAAAGGGGCTTGGAATTCTCATCTGTAGCTTGTAACAAGTGTGGGCTAACGAAGCAAAAAATAACTAGGAATATGAAAAGAAGAGGTGTGCTTTATTGCTTTTTAAAAGGGAGTTAAAACGAAAAGCAGGCAATTATTAAATTACGGTACATTCGCCTGAACATTACTTGCAGACTTGAAAGTTAAGGTTTTTTTTTTAAATTATTAATTGTGTGGGAGATGTTCAATGATAGGACATTTATTTTGCCCCCAAGAGTCAGTATTGTACAGATGTGGAGAGAACATAGTCTTGGGTAAGGTACCAGAAAGGCTACCCTGTCATCGGACCTTCTTTGTCTAAATTTACTTTTGTGTAAAAATAAGTTGATTAAGAAGAGCATGTATATACATACAAAATATAGAGAAATCATTTTTACAGTGTTGGTACTGAATTAAGTGTTCTGAGATTAAGCTGTGGTTGGCATTCTTATAATTATTTAGAGAGGAATTGTAAATATATATACACAAAATACTAGCAGTGTTTGTTTCTGATGGTGGACTTTTGAGTGACTTTTGTTAATACTCCTTGTTTATGTATTTTATAAGGTTCTGGCAATAATCGTTCTAACCAGAGAAAATGTATTTTTTAAAAAAAGTGAGTAGCATAGACAAATTATTTCTGTATTCTTTCAGGATAATTTTCTTCATGGTCTCTCATATCTGAAAAATAGTTTCATAACTTCCCATATTCTTGTATCTAGTAAATACCCTAGATGAAGAGTTCCAGGCAGTTAATGCTGACGAGAGAAAGTGTCAGTCTTTCCCAGAGACGAGCCCCTAACTGTTTATCTATACCACATGGTCAGTTCTAAACACATACATATGAGCAATATTCAATGAACTCAAAAGCACCAAACGTGTGTAATATATACATAGTTGTGTATGAAAATGGTTCAGCCAGAGATCACGGGCCAAAGAAGAGCAAGGTAACTGAGAAATATTCCATCACAGGGAATTTGTTGTACTAAGAACTGCCGTATGCCAAATGCACTACTAAATTCTTTTGTCTCATAGTTCCATCAGGTAGTATAGGTTTGGAAGGCTGAAGCACAGATCACTTGGGTGAGTTACCTCATCACACATTTAAAGACAAAGCCTGAGTAGGCGTGGCTAACCCAAGTCAGCGGCCTGAGCTCTTAACCACCATAGTGTTTTCATTTGTATAGAGATCTCAGGAGGAGGAGTTTGATTTCCACAATATAATTAGGAAACTAAAGTCAGAGTCTTTTCAAAAATCAAAGAACAGCTCTGCAATGGCACAGGAATTAGAATTGACCCCATCAAAGGGCAACTTCTCAACTCTTTTTCAATGAAGGTGCCAGTGCCCCCCAACAGCAAGTGTTGAAGGATGTCTTAACAACACGGCAGAGCTTATCATTTTATTTCACTGGAAATCCTAAATTCCCATCTGTGCAACACAGGGGTTACACACACCTGAGGGTAGCATAGGAAATAATTTCACCTCCACTTCTCACCTCTCTAAGCGGGTTGGATGACAAGTCCAATTTTTGTAGAGAAGAATTGCTAAGGAAATCGAGTTCTTCACTTCTTAGTGCAAGGATCTTATTATTCGATAAGAGGAGCTCCCGGAGGTCTTCCAGTTGGACTTCAGTTCCCAACTTCGTTGATGATAGGCCGTTATGCGACAGATCTAACTTGATTAAATTCTGAGAGTGAAAGGTAGATACATGCATATGAGAGACACCAGAAGCAACTCCCTCCAAGTGTGTGACCCTTGGAGGTATCCCAAAGGAAAAACTGACTGATTTCTATTACTCGGAAGGGAATGATAACTTTTGTGGCAATTAAAAACGCCACCGTTGCTACAGTCTTTCCTCCCATTCTTCCTCAATGTTTGGACCAGTCTGCTGTGGAAAAAGTCTCCCCTATACATGGCTGCATAAACAAGACGAGGGAAATGACAGTATCAATAGACATGCTACATCAAAGGGGGTAAATTTCAAGGGAACCCATCCCTAGACAAAGAACTACAGGCTATTAATGCCTGCTGGGAGAAGAAAGTTCATCCTCTCCCAGTGATGATGGGCCCCCATATCGGGTTGTCCAAATGCAGAGCACTCAGCCTTGAAGCCATGTACACACAAACAACAAAAACAGATTCAGTGGGTGATATTTCTGTATATTTGTGTACACACACACACACACACACACACACACACACACACACACACGTAACAATGCAAGTCAAAGAGAGGCTATCCATGAAAGTGTTGGAGTCACATGACAGGAATCTAAGGGAAGGTAGCTGGAATGGGTGGGAAGGTAGAAAGTGGGGAGGTGATGTAATTCTATTTCAATTTAAAACAATTAAACAAAAAACCCAACCTTTTTGTAAGGATTTAGTTTCTTCATGAATCAACTTATTTCTTTCACCAAGTTAAAGAATTTAAGCTTATAAGGGATAGATACGTGGCTTAGTAAACATAATTCATGAATCTTGGAAACTAGTTACAGAAAAAAGAAAATACTCATTTAAGAAGCAGCACAGCCAGGTGGTGGTGGTGCATGCCTTTGATCCCAGCACTCAGGAGGTAGAGCCAAGGTGGATCTCTGTGAGTTCGAAGCCAGCCTGATCTACAGAGTGAGATTCAAGACAGGCACCAAAACTACACGGAGAAACCCTGTCTTGAAAAAAAAAAAAAAGGAAGGAAGGAAAGGAAGGAAGGAAAGGAAGGAAGGAAAGGAAGGAAGGAAAGGAAGGAAGGAAGGAAAGGAAGGAAGGAAAGGAAGGAAGGAAAGGAAAGGAAGGAAAGGAAAGGAAGGAAAGGAAAGGAAGGAAAGGAAAGGAAGGAAAGGAAAGGAAAGGAAGGAAGGAAGGAAATAAAGAGAGAAAACAACACAACCCCTACAGTTAAGGCTCAGGGAATGTCTTAGAAGAGGGAGCAGGAAGATTATAAAAGCCAGAGTACCAGGGCATCTGCCTGTAAGCTTCAAATTCAGACAAAAAGGCAGGAAAACCCTGATGTCTGTTAGGGGAACATCAACTGGAATTTCTATTAAAGAAATAAGACTTTCATATATGCATTAAAAAGAAAAAAATGTTTCTCTAGTAATTTCTCTGGTCAGATTTTGAGATCTTTGCATCAAAAGGAATTTCCTGCACACTATGATTTAAGAAGCTCAAAGACTGGCCAACATAACACTTTATCAATGCTTCTCAGAGCATTTAAAGTAGTACATTGTGTCCTCGGCATCTGAGAAAGAATAAGGCTCAATATTTTATTTGAGGCCACAAAATAAAGAAGGTAAGTCGTTTACAAATGTCTTTGGTTTAAAGAAAGCACTTAAGAGTTGCTGAGGTTACTAGCTAATAACACCTACTTTTCATAGATTTAAAATTCAAGCAAAGCGTTTAAAAGAAAAAGGCGGAAACCACTGAAAAGGCAATGTTCCAAGCCTTCTTAAACTCCAAAGGGTAGGCAATGTTTAGCCAAAGAGTCTGTTTTACCATTGTATCAACTTGTTATTTTTCTTTAAGTCAGAATTTGGACTCACTGTGTTTCTTAATGCTTTACATTCTAAATTCAACAGCACCATGAGTTTATTTTCTATGCTCCCTATGGGATAGTCAGATGCATTTCTGCTCATGGTGTCCCTCTTCTGAGTCCTATTTCAAATGAGACAATGCAAGAAAGGAAGAGTTCTTAATGTTCCAATCGACTTAAGACTGTAATTATGAGCAGATTTACGTCACAGTACCCACATGCACAGGTGTGCCCCAGCAGTCATGAAGAGGGGTTGATCAGCGTTTGTACTCTTACCTTAATAGCTATGAAGACTTTGAGGATTCAGTAACTTGAAAACTCAACTTCATGTAACTTTAGATTACATTTGCATTTATTAGAACAAAATGAACATACTCCTCTTACCTTCTGGTTTTTGAAAGGGTTGCTTTTAATTTTGTGTATTGAGTTAGACATTAGATAGAGTTCCGTCAGGTTCCTGCAGAAGATGAAAGTTTTTTCGGAAATCTGCGATAGCTCATTGTGCTGGAAGTTCAAGACTTTCAACAAAGGGAGTGTTAGGCACAGTCCTGGCTCCAGTTTTGAAATGGAGTTAAATCCCACATCCAAGATAGTGAGTTGGCTGTATCTTGTAAAATTGGTCGGTGGTAAGCCTCTGAGTTGGTTGTGGGTAAGATTCAACACCGTTATGTTAGCAGGAAGGTCATCAGGTATATGTGTCAGCTTCAAATGGCTGCAGTCAGCTACTTCATGTCTCACAGTGCACTGGTTTGTGGAAGATGCACAAAGAACCCACAGGGACAAAAGTCCCCCCAAGGAGTGTATTAGATAGGATGAACACCCTTTCATGATTCTGCCCTATAAAAGAAATTTAAAAATGCACTGGCTTTTACCATGCTCCTGTGTCCTTTGGTATATTCTTTTAAAATGTATCACCCAAATCTATAAAAGATCTTTTAATAACTTTTGCACCATGCAAGTATATATTATATAATTAATGCACCAAACAGAAATAATTCAAATAACACCAATAAGTGAAATAAACTGCAGATACTTCTTCCTCATTCGTCACCCCACCATTAAGATAAGGAACTCAAGCATGCCATTTCCTTACAACTATGGTTATTTTATCTATTGTTATATTTACTATTTTTAAAACTATCTCCAAGTCAGTCAACTCCAGACAAATATCTCCTCTCGAAATTATTTTTTATCGACACAGAATAATTACATACACTTATGGAATACAGTAACTATTTCAGTATGTATATGACGCATAATGAGCAGACCAAAGTGATTTTCATGTTTATCACTTCAAATATTTATCAGTTCCTTATGTTGGGAACATTCGAAATCCTTTCTTAGTAGCCATTTTGAAATATATAACTAATCACTTTTAACCATAGTAATCCAAGTCATTCTTCTATTTCAGCTACACTCCTGCATTTGTTAGCCACCTTCTTTTCCTCTGTCTTCCTGCACTCTTTTTAACCTCCAGTAACCACAGCTTTATAATTCTACAAGTTCATCTTTCACAGGAAAAAAAATGTGATTTTTGTCTTCCTTTGTCTGGTGTATTTCACTGGTCATAATATCCTCAGGCTGCCGGGCGGTGGTGGCGCACGCCTTTAATCCCAGCACTCGGGAGGCAGAGCCAGGCGGATCTCTGTGAGTTCGAGGCCAGCCTGGTCTCCATAAGCGAGTTCCAGGAAAGGCGCAAAGCTACACAGAGAAACCCTGTTTCTAAAAACCAAAAAAAAAAAAAAGATAATATCCTCAGGCTCACCCATGTAGTTACTGATCTGAAGCAATTTTGTCCCACTCTAAATGTTAGGAATTTAATTATACCATTCTCTTATTTTCTTTACTAGTTTTCTATAGTTACGTTTATCTTCACCTAATACAGTGTTGCATTCATAATTTAAAAGACCTTACCTGTGGTGATATTTTATTTGTGTGCCACAATAAAGCTTATCTGGGGGTCAGAGGACAGAGCCAGCCACTATATTAAACATAGAGGTCAGGCAGTAATAGCACACACCTTTAATCCTAGCATTCAGGAGGCAAAGATGCACCTGGATCTCTGGGAGTTCAAGGCCACACCAGGAACAGAGCCAGGTGTGGTGGCACACACCTTTAATCCCAGCCCTAGTTAACCATAGAGGTCTAGAGGTCTGTACAGACAGATAGGAAGTGATAGAGCTGGGCAGAGAGAGGAAGTAAGATGGCAGGGCACAGAAAAGTATATAAGGCAAGAATATACAGGAAGTAGCTCTCTCTTGGGCTGAGGATTGCCTAGTGGTAAGAACTCATGGCTGACTTGTTTTATCCCTCTGATCTTTCAACTTTCACCCCAATATCTGGCTCCAGATTTTTTATCAATAAGACCATTTAGCAATTTGTGTTACATTTATGTAAAACTATATTTCTTCATCTACTGATGACACAGAATTTCTTGATGCCTTACTTGGTGACACAGGGGATGCATGCTCTTCTGTCTTTACCCCATCTTTCCATCCTTAAATTCCTGTAACTGTTAGTATAGCACCAGTTGATATTGCTAAGATATGAAATGTTAGGGTTTTTGGTCTGTATCTATGAGTAAGCATGAAAAAAATTTATTTAGACTAATTAGAAAAAGCAAAGGCTGAGAAATCTCATTCATAATTTGATGTTTGTGTCAGTCAATATTCACTGAAGAATCAGTGAAACTTAGAGGAACACAGTGAAGGGAGAAGACAGACCGTGGAATAACACGACCTGCGTTCTGATAATGGTGCTTCTGTTTTGTAGCTTTGGACAAGTTAATCCACTTCTCAGATCTAGATGGAATTCTCCACAGGTAACTGTGAGGGCCAAAGGAGATAAACTGAGTTGATCCTCTGGTTCTCAGGATAAGCAATGTATACTAAAACCATTATTCAGCCAAAGTAATAGCACTGAGAGTTAAGAGCACATGATTTTTTTTTCAAATTCAAACATTTTTGCAAGTTTTTATTTATATTTTAAGAGCACAGGATTATAGTTATGCTCTATGTTTAATATTTTACTTTATAATGAAAAACCCAAATTTCTCATGAGATACTCACAGCTAAGCACTGGTCAAGAGCACGGCAGTACATACACTAAACTGTGGAGAATTTGAGCTGTGAGGGACTCAGAAAGAGACACAAAGCTGCTCATTAATTCACACTGGTGGAGCATGAATTGCAGGTGGCTCCCCTCACAGTTTGTGACAACCTGCATTGTTCCCAAACAGTGACAAAGGACCATCTGCTGAGTCTAGATTTCTTTCAAACTGCTTTTGGTTTTCCTTTAAAAACTAAACAGAAAATTTTGGATTCTGAGATGCCTTTGGGTTGTTTTTCGGTAGTATTTGGTTTAAGAATGAAAAGAAATGAGTTGAAGTATTACTGACAAAATTCAAAGGCCTTTGAAAATTTGATCTTTGGTCTTTTTGTCTTCAATAACTTTGATACATGGGTTATCTGGAATACAGACTTCTTTTTTTAAATTTTTATTAGCATATATTAATTGAACAAAGTAATGAGCTTTGTTATGCTTTTTCATACAGGAATATAAACCTTACATACATATCATGAGACTAGAGACATGGCTTAGCAACTAAAAGCACTTTCTGTTCTAAAAGATCCGGGTTCAATTCCCAGCATCCACATGGTAACTCACAATCATTTGTAACTCCAGTTTTAGGGGATCTCCATTCTATTCTAGCCTCCATGTGCACCAAGTCATGTACATAGTGCACATATACAAATGTAGGAAAAACACTCATAAAAGTAAAAAATAAATTTAAAATTACATTTTACACAAAACCATGAAGCATCATCTCCTTGTCTCTTTACTCTCCAACATTGCTAATAGGTCTGATACACATCCAATTTCTCCTCCTTTACATAATTTTTTTTTTCTTAGCAGTTTCTCTTTATACATTTTAGTGTCTTTTCTTTAAAGGTGGTAGTGTGGAATTTCACAATGATATTTCAAGTTATGTCTTTCCTCCAAAATGTGTCTATTGTTACTAGTTTCAGTCTGAAGGTTCATGTTTTCCCTCAACTTTTATAGTTTTTTTCTATGATAATTTCCTTTCCTAAACTTTCTATATTCTCTCCTTTGGAACTGCTTTCAAGCAGATATTGGCCATCCTGTGTAATCCTGTCCTCCATTTCAAGTTTTGCATTTTCCTTCTTCTATCTTTCTATTTCATATTCTTAGATACAAGCTTATCTTTGCACATGAGGCCTACCCTGATTGATTTTCATTTTAGCAATTATATTTTCAATGTATACAAAATAGTGTACAAATCATTGAATTTTCATAAATGGGTATATCACTGGAATTGCCTACTCAAATCAAGAAACAAAAATTTCTCCAGTGCTTTAGAAATCTGTCATGCCCACCCCATGAATTCTTCATTCTTCCTAAACACAAACAATGCTATTTCCTACGCAAAAGGTTACCTGCCTTTGTATCAAGTATTAATAAAATCTTACATTACACCAGTCCCTCATTAGCATGGTTTACATTCTACAGTTTCAATTACTTGTGGCAGCCATGATGCAAAATATTACTACAATGCAATGAGGAATTAGGGCATTTTTAGGGAGAACGAGAGAGACAGACAGAGACAGGAAGACAGAGATACTGAACAGCCATATAACTTTTACCAGACTATAATATCAAAAATGGGTCTATCGTTAAACTTCACCATAGGCATGAATGTACAGGTAAATTGGTACATGTAGGGTTGGATATTCCTGATGCTCTCAGGCGCTCACTGTGGTCCTAGAACACATTTGCTGTGGGATGTTTTCTATGCTGTGAATGTGTTGCTCTGATTGGTTAATAAATAAAGTGCTGATTGGCCAGTAGCCAGGCAGGAAGTATAGGCAGGACAAAGAGAGAGGAGAATTCTGGGAAGTGGAAGGCTAAGGCAGAGAGACGCTGCCAGCCGCTGCCATGAGAAGATGTTAAGATACCGGTAAGCCACGAACCATGTGGCAACTTATAGATTAATAGAAATGGGTTAATTTAAGATATAAGATCAGCTAGCAAGAAGCCTGAGCCATTAGGCCAAACAGTTTAAATAACATAAGTGTCTGTGTGTTTATTTTATAAGTGGGCTGTGGGACTGCGAGGACTTGGCGATACCCAGAGAGAAACTCTCCAGATACACACATTCCCATGGCTAACGGGGATAATGTGTGTATCATTCTGTGATCCATCATTCTTTTCTTTGCTCCATATGAGGTTTGTAAGATGTATCCACATCTCATCATGTCTTGACATTTGTCTTTTTTGTTGCTGTAAAATGCTCCATGGTATAGATATCTTAAGGTCAACAAATTCCCAAAATTTTGAATAAAAATTCTTAAACAGGGCCGGATATAGTATCTTATATCTTTAATCCCAGCAGCACTTTGGAGGCAGAGGCAGGTGGATCTCTGTGAGTCTGAGGCCAGTCTAGCCTACAAGGTAATTTCCAGGCCAACGAAGGCTACAAAGTAAGACCTTGTCTCAAAACAAAATGAGCAAAAAAAGAGAAGCAAAAAAAGTGTTCTTAAATATTCTAGACAATCCAAAGAATTTTACAGTGAATATGCTTGTGTTAAAACAGATATAATGATCTATCCAAATACCTGTATCATCAGCTCCCAAACATGTACCACAAACATCAATCTTCCCCCTCAACAGATTACTTTCTCATCAATAGTTTCAGCATTTTTTTATGCAGAATTTGTTATCCAATGTAAATTTTCACATAATAAAAATGCAAGCATTTTAAGTATACATTCTCTGACTTTTGGCAAATGCATAAATCTGTGTAACTCAAATCCAGAGAATTCCTCTGTCTCCTTCCCAGTTAATTTCCAACATTACTCCCAGAAGCAACCACTGCTCTCTCGACAGATTGTTCTTATAACCTCAGAGGATGGAGCCTAATCCATTCTCATACATATGGCTGCCTTTATTTGGTGCATTAATTTTGAAATTTACCTGCAATATGTGTTTCAATAACTGACCTCCCCATTCCCTCAAAGTATACATTCATGTTCATGCCCCCTCAGTGATCATATGATATTTACTACTTTCTTTATGCATATGTACCTATCATAAAGTTTGCATTACACATTAGTTGTCAAAGTAAGAGACAGACAACTAACAAGTTTTTCTCCTAGTACCATAGGGTTTTCTCTCCCCTACTTACTAGATTATGGGTACAATCCCTGTAAGGTATTCCAGTCTTTGTTTAGGTGATATCTACCCCTCTGGAAAGGCTGTGAATAGAAATTAGAATTACTGAGGACTAATGGACTTACAAACTATATCTCTGAGTAACTGAACAACATTCCCAATCTGAAAACATACTTCATTGAGAGAAAAAAAAAATCCACTAAGTGTTAATAAAGCAGGATGTATTAAAAAAAGAAATCATGGATAAAATGTTAGGAAATTCAGAATGCTACCCCCCCCCCACATGCATGCACACACACAGACTCACAGTCACACACAGAGAGGTGGGGTACAAATCCTAAACATTTTGTAAGGTGACCATATCATTAATTACTTCCAAAGGAAAGAGATCTGTTTTTATAAATAACTTTTCATCAGTAACATGAGTTAATAGGTAGCAGTCAAGGAAAGCTTCCAGAACATTTGGAAAAAAAAATATGTTAAATTCCAAACCCCACAGTCAGCTGAACAACTAAGAAAGAAGGAAACAGTAGTTTGACACCGGGAGATACATTTCAATCAAACAAACAAAAATACGTGAAAGTATGAAATGAGAATGAAGAACAAGTTACCACTGAATAGTTCTTAAAGAGAGGCAGGGGAAGAGTAGGAGAGAGAAGACCTTGCATTTGGGGAAGCATTTTTGAAGGCACACAGAATTATATTTTTCATTCGAGGGAAAGACTGCACTCTAATATGACTAAGGCAGAGAGTGAATACCTGGGGTTAGGCACGATTTATGATTTGGTTTATAAACATGTCCCTATCTTTTTCTAAGTTAATACAGCAGCACCTACATACAGAAACATCAAAACATAACATTATAGAGTCAGGCAAACAACTGCCATATGTGGAAGGTTGACTATTCTTCCCTATCTAGTCCATAATATTACAGCCTGTTTTCCAACCTTACAATACAACTTCCTGAACAGCCTGCCTCCTCTCCCACCACTCTCTTTTATTCTGGAATAGGAAGCCAGCCCTAGTTCCTAGAAAGAATTCTTTCTTTTTTTTTTTTTTATGGAATTTTTTTTTTTAATTTATTTTGCAATACAATTCAGTTCTACATATCAGCCACGGATTCCCTTGTTCTCCCCCCTCCCGTCCCCCTCACCTTCCCCCCAACCCCCCCCATTCCCATCTCCTCCAGGGCAAAGCCTTCCCCACAGACTGAGGTCAACCTGGTAGACTCAGTCCAGGTAGGTCTAGTCCCCTCCTCCCAGGCCGAGCCAAACAATCCTGCATAGGCCGAATTCTTTCTTTCTCAAGTACATTATCATAAAATGTCAGCTCCCCACAGCCAACTAAATAGAAGAAAGGAGTTTTTAACTTTGTAGGATTTTGTTTCTTTAAGGAAAACGTGCTTTTTTTTAAAAAAAAAAAGCATTTTAATTTCTAATATAATCTTTTTACTTAATCTTTGAGAATTTCATACTGTATACTACATATATACATTTATTTTCATTGCATTTATTACTTACTCCCCCTGCACACCCCAGAGCCACCTTCATCCCCTTTTTAAAGCCTATTACAAAATCCCCCTGGAAGCTTTCTTAATATGCCTTTCCAAGAACATAAGTCTACAGAGGAAATACTTTTTGTTTTAATTGCTTCATAAAATTGTTGTTTTACCACAAAAGTCAGATTTGATTTTGTGGCTAAATTTGCATTTGGCATTACGATGCATTTCTCCCCTCATACCTGTACCATCTACCTTCTTTTGTTGTGTGATTCTGACACAGTTTCACTCCCCAGATGGGAGACAGGTGGATTAACGTCAAAAGCCAAGAGCATTCTGATTTTATTCAGCCGGAGATCCTGCATCCCCTTATAGTTTTCATTCAGAGTTTTTTTTTTTTTTTTTTTCAGTCAGACATTTCCTTCAAACCTGAAAGTGAAACTTAAGGTAAAGAAAGAAAAGAAAAGAAAGAGAGAAAGCTTAGCGTATCTGGTACAACACAGGATATTATCAGCGAAACTGTTAAACTGTTACCTTTTTTGTTGTTTCTTTTTCGTGACCTCCTGGAACTCATTGAAATAGTCATGAACTGAACTTTAGGTAGAAAGATCTAAGAGGAGGAACCTGCGGCAGCCTGTGGGTGGAACTCTGGAAGTTAATGAGTTCAGGACTTCCGAGCCAAGCCCTTTCTCCGTGGTGGGTTGCAGATCCTTGCAAAACTGTCAGATTTGAGTAGTGTGTGGTCAAAGGCTTGGGACTGGGGGTGAGAGTGGAGTTGGGGCACTGGGGTTGTGTGAGAGGACAGCAGGGCAGGGGATGAGGGAAACAGGGGGTGGGGGGGGGCCGTGCCTAAACAAAGTGAAAGTCATTCAGTCACTTACTTGACTTTATTTTCTTTGCAACCTTGCAAAATGAATAAAGTTGAAATTAATCTCTAGGTCACACTGGGCTTCCAGTTTTCCAGCAGGAAAAGTTGAGGACATTCAGGGCACGGGAAGTGGCCTTGTCTCAAAAGCAATAAGGGAACTCCCAGAAACAACAAGGAAAAAAACAAAAGGGAGTGGGGTGGGGAGGGAAGGAGGTCTGGAGGGAGGTCAGAAGGAACAGAGAGAGAGAGGGAGGGAGGGCAGAATTCTTCCAATGCTAGCTGTCACAAAGAGCCCTTCTTGCTCAAGCAGACCCAGTTTCCCACAGTATCCACAAGTTGGGCGTCAGTTGGCATCAAACAGGTTTGCTCCGAGGGAGCTCAGATTAACTCTTTCCTTCTCAATTAGCTTTGAGGACTCAAGTTGGTTAAAGAGGTGTGATTGCAAGGGAATGAACTCAATTTCCTTTTCATTACAGAAGCACAATGAAAAAAAAACAACCACCAGATTGATATGTAGTAAAAATGTAATAAAGTATACAAGAAACAGAGAGAACACCTAACCTGATTCTCTTGATTTGAAACCTAGAGAGGGGGTGTTTAAGGACTTACCACAAGTTACTACAGTGGTTCCTTTTGTCAACTAGTAATAAAATAGCTCTGGGTGGAGGTCAAAGTGAATAAGGTGAATGGATGCAGAATTGAAAGCAAGAAGTAAGTTCTGCATTTTGGTGCAAATTGCTATTCCCAGGGTCCAGTTGGTTACACCTGTGATTACTGGGCACATGATTGCACTCTTCTGACTTTGAGCTGTAACATCTTTAGTTCAACACCATAAACAGTTGTCCTTAGTAAATAATTGTCCCCTACATTTACCCACCTGGATGCCAACATTATTAATAGCATCGACAAGATTTCTTCTCTGTGAGTTCTTTGAAAACAGGAAGAGCTACATTTTTGTATTATACGTCTCTAATCACTTTTCCATGGTAGAGCATTACTCTTGCCAGCCTCTGAAGAGCTACTCGTCTTCTCAGGATTCAGCCATTGCATGGTCCTCTCCTACACCAACTCAGCTCCACTATCTGATTAACTTTGACCAAGTGGCTGTCAGCATGAAGCAAAGTTTGATTCTGAATCGATTATTAAGGCCTGAAAAGTGCTTGAGTATTTGAGACTCATCTTCTTGGAATGCCAACTTCTCTTAGGCTTTTTTTGGAATTGGGTTGCTGTTCAATAAGAAGCCCAGATTAGCTGTGCTGTGGATGTGTGGAAGGGAATGAACACTCTCGCTGAGCACCAGGGAGGCAGCTAATATCAACTCTCTGGATGCATGGGAGACAACCCTCCAATCCACATCAACTTTCTGCAGCTAATGTCACTTGGAGAAATGACCTTCTTCAACAAGTCCTATCAGCATTGCAGAAAAGCTGTAAAACATGTTGCTACCATTTTACAGTTTAGAAATGAAGAGACAGGCTATGCCTCGTTAGATAAGTAAAATGTACTTCCTCTATACTCTCTTGTGCTTTATGATTCTTTACAGATATGTTAGGTTAGCTATAATGTTGGTTGACTAGTAAATGGCTTTAAATAAATAATTATTTTGTTTCTTTTTCAAGTGTGTATGTTTTGTAATGTGTATGTGTACGTATATTGGGGTGTGTGTGTATGCACATATGTGCACATGGATATCGAGGCCTGAGGTTGGTTTGGGATATTTTCCTTGATTATTCTATACTTTATTCATTGAAGCAGGGTCTCTCAACTGAACCTGGAACTCATTACTACTGCTAACCTAGCTGGCCAGCCTGCTCTAGATATCTCATCTCCATCTTCTGAGCCCTAGAGTTATAAGACAAGCCCCTTTATCCATCTACCATTTACTAGGGTTCTGGGAATCCCAAATATGATCGTCAAGCATTCTTGTGTGGGAGGCATTTTGACTGCTGGGCTACCTCCCTAGTAACTCAAAATCAAAGGTATTGAATATTAATTGGAAGTTACATTGTGAATATAGGCTACAGAACTCAGATTGGATAGAAAGGATGAATAAAACTCTTGAGGAGACTGAACAAATAGGTCCTGGAAACTGGTCAACATCCTTCCCTTCTTCCTGCCAAGACCTTACCAGGAGAAGCTTACTCCTCTTGAAGTTATATTTGGGAGACCACTTCCCATCCTCCCCAAACTCAGAGGTAGCCTCCAGGCAGAAATGTCTAATCACTCCCCTCTCAAGTCCTTGTGGACTTTGCAGGAAGCTTGCCAAGCTATTGACCAGACTGTGAAGGGAATCCTATCTCCCATCTCTGAACCTGCCTACCAGCCCCAACCAGAAGACTTGATTTGGTAAAGAAGATCCGTACCCAGACTCTGGAACCTTCCTGGAAGGGACCCTACCCAATTATCCTCACCATTCCAGCTGATGTGAAAGTGGCTGGTGTCATCCCTTGGATCCATCTCTCCCAATTATGAAAAGGCCACTGAGGATGATGACCTATGGACTGTCACTCAGACTTCAGACCCCTTAAAAATAAGACTGTAACCTGGAACACGATGTTCATCTTTTTCCTTTCTTTCAGTATGGGAATGAAAGCTACAACCCTCAACTTCCCAATATCGGGACT